ATGCACATCATCGAGAGGCTTTGGGCATGAGAAACATATGAGAAAAGTATAAGCAGTTTTAAAGCACATGTATAAATGTTGAAAAGCCTCGAGGTAAGAATGTCCATAAAGAGAACAAGTGGAAGTATTCAGGGAAGGCATTGTGAAGAGGCAGCAGGTGAAGGGGAAAGCTCAGACTCTGGAGACAGACACACCCAGGTTGTAAACCTGCGTCCACCACCTTCCCCTCTAGTTACTGGTGCTTTGCTTTCCTCATCAGTGAGCCTGAGGTAACGATATCTCATGGTGTGCATGAGAAGGTCTGTGTGTAAGGCACCAAGTAGGAGTGCCTGGCAATAGTGGGTGTTTGGCACATAGTCGGTGATCATATTCTAGAAAGAAGTATTTCAAAGTACTTTTACAAGTAGTTTTGGGCCATGAAAATTAGTAGAGAAATTTGCAAATGTGGGCACAGCTACAAGGCATAATAAAAATGGAGTTTTCGGTTGTCCCAGGCTGCTCAGGCTAGTGGGGCAGGTAGAAGGCTGTTGTAATATTTCGAGAGTGACAGGGGCAGGAACAGGACTATGTGCTAGCCTAAAATGGAACAGAAAAATCAGAGATTTTCTTATTCCAACTGGAAATGGAATGGTGAGAGGTGATTTAGCACAAGTGACTCAGTTTACAGATGAGAAAGAAACCACTAGAGGCTCACAGCAGGGAAGGAGCTAGTCCGGGATGTCGAAGACTTCTGTTACTAGTTATTGTCAGACCTGAAGCTAGGCCCCTTACTTCCCAACTCCTAAGCCCAGAGCTGTTTCCACCCCCCAGCAGACAGATGGTGGGAGGGAGGGTTACTGTGGGCAGGGTCAGTGCTTAGTAGCTCTGGAGTCTTTTCCTTGCCACCTCTATCAGAGTGTCTTTCTGACTCAGACCAGCCTTTTTCTCCCCAGGAGATTACCTTCTCAGTAAACCCATTTAGGGAGTTAATTGATAACTAAAGTTCTCTGATTTATGATCTATGATTTAAAATGTGTCCACTCCTTTCTAAGGTACATTTACATTTCAATAGCAGGTGATTAAATACCCCAAACCCTATTAGATTTAAAGGATTATTTTTTTAAGGTACAATCCATGCGTTGGCTGTTTTGGGCTGGGACTCCTCACTGGCATATCCCAAATGGACCTGATTTTTTTTCTTCCACCTGATCTGAATCCTTTTCATCTATGAGCCTCTTATTCTTGGCAACTTTGACATCCATTCAACAAATACTAACACCTATAAAGCACCAGATACTGTTTGGTAAGTTCCTGGGCCCACATTTTAGGTGTAGATTTGGGGTTATGAGGACAAGGACAGAAGAAAGAATTGAGTATCATGGGAATGCATACCCCAAACTGGGAGGGGAGATGTCACTGGAAAGGTGCCTGGAAACGATGGTCTGAATCTTGAGAGACCAGAGTTAACCAGACAAAAGTGGGTGAGTAGAAGTGGGGCAGGATATTCCTAGAGCAAAGACTCAGAGGCTACAGTCCTAGGCACAGATTAATGGATACTAGTTGGGGGTGGGGAGGACTGTTTCCAGTTGAATCCTTGCAGAGGAAGCAGAGGCCTCATGTGTGCCCTCAGTTTTATCAGGAACATGCTGAGTACTCCTTCCTGAGACCGTGGCCATGGTGATGGCCTGCTATTGATTAGCTTGACTCTGAACTTCACTCCTAGTATGGGGAGCAGGTTGGAACCTCCACACCCCCACTCCCAAGTGGTCCCAGATGCATCATAGGTCACAAACTGGAGGCCTATGAAGATATGTATGATTAAAAAAAAGTGTTTTAACAATTAAAAAAAATAGTATCATTAGAATTTAGGGATAGGTCAAATAAAAGTCTGTTTCCAGTTTTTCTTGAAAAATCACAATATCTGGTATAACTAGTCACCCAGGTTGAGGAGTGATACCATATGAACTAGAGCTAAGGAGCAGGGCCCTTTTCAAATGAGGTTTGATCTTGTTCTCCAAGTTCAGCACAGCCTCTGTCCAGCCATCTTCAACCATTGCCTGGTCCCACCCTTGCTCTCCGTGCCCACAGAACTTTAAATGGCCCCTCCTTGCTGGTCATGGTAAATAAAGTAACCCTCCCTCCATCCTACCCAGCTGCACTCCTCTTATCTGATGTGCTCTGGGCAGCCTGTCAGGTTTACTGGACAAGGGCTGAATTAAGGTCCGCCCTTGTTTATGAGACTGGGGGTGGGGAGAGGTAACAGCTGGGAACAAAATGACTCTGAGCTGGTGGGGCCCCAGAGAACCAGGCTCCTGTCAAAGCAGGGGAAAGGATTAACTACAAGTCTGAGGTACATTCGTTTGCATAAGATTGTTATCCAGGGCCCTGGTAGCCTCTTAGATGGAGCCTCTTAGATGGAGCTCAAATATTTTTCTTGCCAGCTCTACAGAGACCCAGAGACCCAAATGGTGCACAGAGAAAGCTACAACTCTCCAGAACTCAACAGGCTTGCCTGTCTCAGCTTCCTCATTGCTCTCTCTTCTGGGAAAGGAGAGCACGTGGGTGTGATTCCACAGGTGGGCAGAATGGAGTAAGCAAAGCTGTTAATGGAAATTCCCTTTCCCGCCCACGTGTTGTAAATGAACACGCAGCCCAGTTTGGTATTAATTCACAAGCAGACCATGGAGCCAACAGTCAAAGGTACCCTGTGGCCAACGAGATCAGATGTCTGGCAAGGACACTGAATGTTTCAGCAAGGATGAGAGGTCAGACATGAGTTCATTTGTTCAGTAGGGCTACATATGACACTAGGAAGGGCTTTAGACTATGAAGATTTTTAAACAAAGAATTGAAAAATCATTTTTCTGTGGGAAAGGCCACAGGCTTGCTTGGATGTTGTTAACTGTAGCCATTCTTAGAGGCACTAGTAGGAACTATTACTTTAATAATGGTTTTCTTCTAGTTATCAGAATGCCAGAGTGTTCTTATTCATCTCAGGACTAACTTGGAGCCCTTGAAGAGATTAGGTTAACTTCTACTTAAAACTACAATTTTCATTTATTGAGTACTTAAATGTGAAAGCACTATTTTAAGTAATTAATGGATCTCATTTAATCCTGGTAACAACATTGTGAGATGGTTTCTATTCTTAATCTCCTTTCACAAATGGGGAAATGAATGCCAGGTTGGTGAAGTGACTTGGTCCAGGTCGCACAGCCAGTAGGTAGGTGATAGAGCTGATGAGACTCCCCAGGAAGCCTGACACCAGAGCCTGCGCACCTAACAACTTCTTTGAAGCTGCCCCACGATGCTTGGAAACTGAAACCCTATCAGGCAGGAGTATGATGCAAGCAAGAGAAATTTATTACTTATTGCACTTCCCAGCCTAAGACACCTTTCAGTTCAACTAATTGAAAATGATGATAATCCTTGTGCTAATTTGCCCTCCAGTGATTGTCAGGATAAGGAAGGTGATTTAGAGGTCAAAAGCTGGAGAAAGGAACAGGAGTCATTTAATCCAATACCCTAATTTCTGAGACAGGAAAATTGAGGGGCTTTTCCAAACTCACACAGCTAGTTAGGAAGAAGAATCTGGACCACCACCCATACATTGTCCCTCCCAGCCCAGAACTCTCTCTAGTGTGCCATGCTTTGTTAGACTGTGATGCTTGCACTGGGAGCCAGAAGGTCTCTTTCCTTAAAAGGCTGCTCAAGGATCAGACTCACGGAAGTGGGTTTCTTCCTCCTGGGGCTTGTTGCAGCATTGAGGACTCCCCCACCCAAACCTCCTTATCAGGAGCCAGGATGTGCTCTTAATCTGCAGCTCCCAGGGCCTTGTCTATACTCTCTGGGAGGTGCATTATCATTCAGAAACAGCTGACCAAGCACAGGTCTCCCAGGCTGGCACTGTTTACAAAGTGGAGAAGCTGGGAGCAGAATGACCAACTGTATTCAGACACCACCTTCACCTCTGTAAGCAGTTCGTGTCCACAGCCTCTGTTCTCCAACTGGCCAAGGGGTACTCTCCCCCC